CATACTGGAAGTCTTGGCCCTGTGCTGTGCCTGGACTGGTCCATACTGGGAGTCCTGGATGTGTCCTGGGATCAGCCCAGCCCATGCTATAGAAGGTCCCTGTCTTGGGATCAGCCTGGCCCATACTGGGAGGACTGGTCCTGTCCTGGCCCTTCCCTTGAGGGGATCCCCCCCATCCCACACTCACCCTCCAGGCAACTGTTCCATATGGATGAGTTCAACACCAGCAGGGAATGGGATCCCTGTCTTTCCTTCTTTCCCAAGAATTTACCCCAAAGGCTCAGCTGGGATTTCAGATCCTGCACTGTCCCAGCTGAGGATCAAGTTGCACCTCTTTCCCAGCGATTCTGGCACTGATGGGAAAAGGGAATTCATGTTTTCCTGGGAAATAACCTCCTGATGGGGCAGGTGACAGTTGGGACAGAACATTCCACCTTCCCAGTTTTCTGTGGTTGGACATAAGTGAGGTCTGAGTGTATCCATTCCACTTTGCAGCTGGAAAACTGAGGCAGGGACAGGCTGGATGATGTTTCCTGCCCCAAAAACGCCGTGGTGAGGCTGGAAAGGGGCCTGGTGGCTCTTGGTGTGATCCAGAAAAGAGCTGGAGCCTCCCTGAGAACAGATTGTTAAAGAGTTCCTGGAAAAGGGAAAGCTTGGGAGATGCTAATGTATGGATTGTGACTGGCCTAAAAACACAGGGGTGTCTTCAGGGCTGAGTTCCTGCCTTAAATCCACCTTCAATCCAGCAAAAATGCTGCTTTTTTCACCGCCCCGATGTGAAACAATTCCCAAATCCGCCGGTTTTGCAGCGGTTTTTCCTCCTTCCTTCCAGCTGGGAGTGGCTGGAGAGTGAAACCCCCCCAAAAAGCACCTTGTTAAGCCCCAAGATCACCTCGTTAACCCTCCGGAGACGGGATGCTGACAATTCCCTCGGGATCTGGCGGCCGCCGCGCTCCCGACATATGGTGTGAGGAGAGGAGCCTCTGTCGACAGATTTTTGGTTCGTTTTCCGAGAAAAACACGGATAAACACAGGCTTTTGCTGTTTAAAAACTGACTCATCATTTTCCTTAAACAAACAGCCCAATCTGGAGGCTCCTGAGGCGGGAGAGGGCTCGGCTTGGGATTGCCAGCCCGGGGGTTTCTCCGCTGGGATCGGTGTCCTGGGGGGAGCTCTGGGATGGGGACGGGTCAATGTGTGGGATGTTGTCCCTGTGGAAGTGTCACCTGGTGCTTTCCAAGGATTCTGGGATGAGGAGACCCCCCTGACCCCGAGTTTGAGGAGTTTCAGGTAGGGATGCTGCTGCTTGTGCTGTTCCAGGGGATTTGCCATCCCTCCTCTTCTCATTCCGTTGGCTTCCCGGGCA